CACTCTAGTTTGTAATATTTAGAGCCTCGGCTATATATAAGATTTTTTCTTTATTAAAATACGCATCATTTTCCAACTATTTAACATTTTGCCCTTTTCTATTATTCCTATTCAAAATCATTTGTATTTTGATAGATAATTTGAAATTCAATCAAATATATAAATAAGTCCTTAAATAGTTAATTGTTGGGTTTATGTGGCGTTTAAAGGCCTTATGATTGTGCAATGAAAATCATTTATTATAGTAAAACATAAACTTAGTGGGAGTGTGGTCCCTCCGGGACCATACTAAGTAAATGATGTTTGCTGATACTAGACTATGCTTGACGATCTAGGCCAATCGGTTGGAAAACTCAAAGAACCTGAGCATAGAGAATAAATGATGTTTGCTGATACTAGACTGTGCTTGACGATCTAGGCCAATCGGTTGGAAAACCCAAAGAACCTGAGCATAGAGAACAAACCGAGAAGGGTTTTGGGTTATCCCTTGATGAGGTTGAAACTTATGCCTGGATGAGTGAGCCAAGGGACTATCTAACCCTTGTGTTTGATGGTAGGCCTACAGAGATGGAGGCCAAAACCTCATCCATGATTCATCACACGGCATGAATATCGATAGATCATTCGGGAAAGCCAAATATCCACCTTTGGGTGAAGCGTATGAATGTACGAGAGATACCCCTATGCACCATGGAGCAGTGGTCGCATCAGATCGTGGTGACTTTGACTCGCCTCTAGAGGAGGACATATAATCCACAGACTGAGATTGCAACCCCTTGGCTCATCGGCCAGACTTTAGTGACCCGCTAATAAGCCACTACTTGGACTGTGGGTTATGGGAAACATTTGGTCAGTTCGATAAAGCAAGTGTGGTTTGTATTCCACAGTTGAAGGTGGAGTGCCCCATGATCGCTGATGAAATTCCTAAGCCATATGGATCAATTTCTCATCATATTAATTTAATTGTGTTCATTTTATTATATAAATTATTTTAGATTTATTATTTTAAATTTTATGAGGCTTTTAATATTTTATTTATAATTTTTTGGACTTATAAAAATAAAAGTATTCATTTTACAAAGTTATAAAAATTCAAATAAAGTTTTAAATTTTTTCTTAATTTTAAAATTTTTTATAAAATGTCATGGGGGCCCATAGTGCACATGGGCCCGCCATGTGGCAAGAGATGGGGCCTACACGTGCCACATATGGGTGGCACGCCCCACCCCTTTGGATCCCTTTTTTGGTTGCTTTGTGATAAGTTTTAAAAGTTTGGAAAGTGTATCTTATGACATGTGATCCATTAGTAAATATTGACCATATATTATCTAAATGAGATAGCATATATTAACTTGATATTATTTGATATATTCTTGTGGAATATATGATATGGCTTATACAATTTTATGGAATGCAAGATATTTTAATAGATTTAATTTATTGATGGGAAAATGGTTTAACAAAAAGGGGATAATGGTCCATGTACCTTCCATAACGTTGATGGCCCATCTATGGAATGGATGGCTCAGATCTTTCATCCCACAAGTCACCCTGATCAACGGTCCATATTCAATCTCAAGAAAGAGGAAAACTATGAGAAACCCTAAACCTAACTTTATACTATAAATAGGGGTGTACCTTCCGCTATTCTCTACACCTTCTCTATCCCACAACTCTCTCTCTCATCTCTCTCCTAGAGGGGCACACCCCACTCTCTCTCCTCAAGATTTCTCTCTCTAACCCTCTCTCTCTCTCCTAAGAACCATAGGGAGCACGCCCGAACCCTAGGCCTCCTACTCTCTCTCTCTCTCTCTCTCTCTCTCTCTCTCTCTCTTGACCTAAAGATACTACTGGTTAGGAAATTAGGATTAAGCCTAAATTATTTTGGGGTTAGGGTTTTGTAAAGATTTAACGGTGTTCACTCGATTTGACAAAAATTAGCTTTCTTGGGTCGAGATTGAAGCTAGACCGCTGATCTCGCGCCATCAGATATTGGTGATTCGGTGTAGGGTGTAATAAGCCCGGTTGAAGTAATCTTCGACATCTTCTTTTATTTCATGCAAATTTTATATTTATTCTCAAGCATAGTATTTAGTTGTATAAATGGTATCAAGTGGTTG